GAGGCTTGTTATTTTCTGGACCGTATACTCCGATGATGTTCAGGTCTTCCTTCTGCATTCTTATCTTTGCTGTTCCTATTCTTTCTGATATGTATTGGCACTCTTTGATGTGATTTTGGTACCTTTGGTGTATTAGTAAGGCTACACCTTCTTTGGCCCTGTTTTCTTTTGCTACTCCACTGTAGATTAGTATGTATTCACCTAATTTTGATTGAGCTTTTTCTTTCTTTTTTGTTTCCTGTAGAGCACAATTGTCTATTTCTTTCTCTTTCAGCACTTAGGTTATTTCTTGGTACCTTGAGTTTAGTGATCTGATATTCCAAGTAGTAATTCTCATCTGGGTTTTGGATGTTTTTTGCTTATCCTTATTTCTTGCCATAGTCGTCTTCATAGTATCAATCCGGTTCCGAGGCTGTACATTGTTTCTTTGAGCAGTATTTGTTTTTTACGATTGGTAGGTTGCTAATTTTGCCAATCACCCTCCACATTTTATCCGGACTTGGGACCGGCTGTGGTAACCGCAGAGCTACTCAATCCACCCCGCAATCACCCCAGGCAGTGTTATTTTTTAATTCTAACTCATAATTTTGTAGTGGAATAAGTAGTTTGACTGATGTATCAGTTTATAAGTATTCAGATATTGAACTGAACAAAAGTTACAACAAATATGTGAAGCCCAAGTCTTGTCCTGGTTAGGTCTCTGTGGTGAAAATGTTACTTCGCCTTTATGCTTTGTCTTACCTATTTCATCCTAAAGTCGTTCTATAAATTGTCTCTTGAATTTTCTTTAATTGGATTTAATTCTCTTGTACGGTATACTGTCAGTGAAATTATGGGTGTTCCATATACAGATTGAACCAAATTAAAACGGAACATACAATTTAATACATGTCTGTTTGAACTGCATTTGAAATAGTGGACCAATATAAAACTTGGACAAAAATAAATCCATACCTGGGTATAGACATTGTATAAAATATCGTTCAACTATCTGTCTCACAACAATGTTGTTTGCGTAAGACGGGTTTGGCTAAGGAAGTGATAATCGTTCAGGAAATGAAGCTCGAAAAAAGTTAAAACTTCGCAATTTTTTCGTCCTGCATTTATCCAGTTGAAATTTTAACAGAAAGTAGGTGATAGCCCAAGGATTAAAATCTATATCGAAGCGAAGTGCGCTGAAGGGTTTTAGGGGTGAAAACTACCCCTAATTGTCAACAATTATAAAATAACATATTAAACCTGAATATGGGTAAGATTTGGTTTGAATTAGTTAAATAATGATTATTTTATACTTTTGAATAGAGTTCCATCATATTTCAACCCTTAAAAAGCAACCCTTGTTAGAGATTAGTGTAAAAAAATTACTAATTCTAAAAAAATGATTTCGCCTTGGATCGACTTGGATAAAAATTTGGATTTAAGCTCAATTCACCCGCTGCTTTATAGTTTATGTCATTTCGACGAACCCTGATTGTTCTTAGGGGTGAAAACTACCCCTAATTGTCAAAAATTATAAAATAACATAATAAACCTGAATATGGGTAAAATTTGGTTTGAATTAATTAAATAATGATAGTATTTACAATTTCGAATGTATAACGCCCCACCATGATATAAGGATACCAGATATGATATTGCCACGCACTAAACTCGTACACTCACGCGCATGACGTCACCTTGTGCTAAATTTTCAAAATGTATTCATGCTTGCGGATGAAACGAACTGTTGAAATTCTAATATAATTTACTAGATGTTTTATTTACTACGTGAATTTAAGCTTAAGTATTTAAATTAGTATATTGTAAAAAATAACAATTTTCCCATAAGAGTGAAGTTTGATGGAGGGAGCCATGGCCGAATGTCACAAATTGCAAACTATGGAATGTGATTTTCATACAATATATATTTTATATATAGTAGTTAGGTATTATTGACTGACACGTTAGGTAAACTATTTTTTTTGAGGTTGCAGTCATTAATAGGACAGAATAAGTAAAACTCTTTGTTCTTTCATTTAGCTTTCACAAAAATTTATTAGCTTCTTCAGGATATGCTAAAATATGGTTATAATTATTTAATCTCCTACCTACATATATATATATATATATATATATATATATATAATATATATATATATATATATATATATATATATATATATATATATATATATATATATATATATATAAATATTTTTATTTGAGGTTGCAGTCATTAATAGGGCAGGATAAGTAAAACTATTTGTTCTTTTATTTAGCTTTCACAAAATTTATTCGCTTCTTCAGGATATGCTAAAATATGGTTATAATTATTTAATCTCCTAATTATATATATTATATATATATATATATATATATATATATATATATATATATATATATATATATTAATAAAGTATTCAACTAGTGAATTCAGAGGTTAATCGGTCGTTCAGGTTGGCAAAATAAAAAACAGAAGTCAACTACTTCATAAGTTTATAGAAGACATTTCGCTTTATACTTCTAAAGCTTCATCAGTTCTAACTCAATATGTAGTATTAAAGATGTTATTATATATTTACTTAAGTTTACTCATTATTTAAAACTAACTTAAAAAAAAAACAGAAACAAAGGACACAAAAACTTTGCAAAAAATAATATCATTCGCAGAAACAAAGATTTAACAAAATTTTAAACGTACATTTTGCTCCATTTAGAGATGGTTCTCCAATGAAGACAAACAAAACACTCACCAGTGTTTTGTTTGTCTTCATTGGAGAACCAAAATCTTCGTTTCTGCAAATGATATTATTTTTTGCAAAGTTTTTGTGTCCTTTGTTTCTGTTTTTTTTTTAAGTTAGTTCTAAATAATGAGTAAACTTAAGTACATATATAATAAAATTTTTAATACTACATATTGAGTTAGAACTGATGAAGCTTTAGAAGTATAAAGTGAAACGTCTTTTATAAACTTATAAAGTAGTTGACTTCTGTTTTATATTTTGCCAACCTGAATGACCGATTAATCACTTCAATCACTTTCAACAAAGTGCTTAGAGCAAACACGAGCAAATTTAACATTAAAATTATCCTGGCGTTTACACAAATGTTTCCAAACAGCTTGCATTTCCTTGTCTTTTGGAAAGCTATAAAATGCTGTACCGGGTACAAAACTCTTGCACATATTGTCAACGGCACAACCATACACTGCACACCTCATATCGGGAAAAATTTAAAGCCTTGTAACACTTTTAAAATATTATTTTATTAAATATTGGCTATGAACCGTAAATGTACATAAACGTCAAAACACAATATGGCAAAATTTAGCACAAGTTGACGTCACAAAAGTCATGCATAAGCCACGCCCACATGCGCGGTATCTTATCTGTTTGTATTTGTATCATGACGCCCCACTAGCTAATATACCGGTTTTGTAGATTATTATGCTCCGAAATGTACTGTACTATACTAATGGAATTTCCCGGAAAAAAATTAACTGGTTTTTTTAACGTATTTCCTTTAATTTTTAACGATAGAGTGTTTCTTAAAAAACGATTTGTAGAGGTTTTTAAGAGCTACAAGGATCTGTGAATTAAATCTTTTTGGAACCCTTGGTTTTTAAATGGGGTGAGTTTAAAGGGCCCAAAAAAGATGGTGCTTGATCGTAAATCGATGCTTTAAACGGCTATATCTCGCCAAATATTCATTGTACAACAAATCTAAATAAAGGATAATTTTAGTCATTAAAAAAGCTACAATTTGGTAATTTTTATTTTTTTCATATATTCAGTATTTTCGGGCATATTTAAAAAAAGAAGGGTAAAAAATATGAAATTGTAAATCGTTTCTCGCTTTAAGCTGTACTTTTTCTAAAACTAAGCATTTTAAATGGGTCAAACTTTTGGACGTATTAACAATACATGTACAAAGGGAATTGCAGAAGGGTGAAGATCGATTTTAATTATGGGGGTGGTTATGGGTTGTTTTCATCGATTTTTTCGTAAAAAATGAGGTATTGACCTTATTTTCATCATAACTCACTCAATTTTTGAGCTAGAGTCTTTTTTTATGATAGGTCTGTTTATGCTCTTTAAAAAAGGTTTTGTGAGTTTTCTTCCAAAAATGCATCATTTTCCCGATATCTGACTTTGAATCGTTCAAATTTGGCATTTGAAGAAAACCGCTGAACATTGATAGGCCGTATTTCGGTTCCTATTATATCGCAAAAACATTTTAAAAAATGAATTGTATTTGTCTTTTTAAAAGCTACAAATTTGTTCTCTACAATTTTTTTGATAAAATGCACCATTTTCGAGTTATTCGCAAAAAATCGATTAAAAACGTGGATTTTTTCGTCTAAAAGTTGCTACTTTCAATCGCGAATAACTTGAAAAATATCATTTTATAAAAAAAATGTATAGCACATTTTTTGTCTAGAATCACTTTTTTAATTGAAACCTATAGTTAAAACGTAAAAAAAATTTTCACCCCGGAGATGGGGTGGAAACCACCCCCTAGGCTTTGGCGCACTTTGGTTCGATATAGATTTTGATCCTTAGGCTATTACCTACCTTCTGTTAAATTTCAAGTCAACCCACGCAGCACGAAAAAATTGCGAGGTGAAATGCTTCATTTCCTGGACTATAACTGGTTTGACAGCATATTAAAATCGTAGATTTATGTGTAGCTTTCAATTTTTATGAGTTCAGAATCCAGCAGCCCGCTGAAGTATTGGATTTTTATAATATAATTATTTGACAATCTTTTGTTGGCCAACCACCTACAGCAGAATTGAGACGAAATACATTATATTCCTATGTTCCGAATTTATTTCCTTCAATCTGTATGTTTATAAAGCAGTTTATTTAATTGTTTCATTTATTGGTTCCCAATTTTATCTTTTTTAGCTATCCTACTCCAGCAGTGAATTATTGTTCATTTTACCCTAATAAATTGTATTATAATTTTCTAATGTAAAATGTAATTATTTATATGATACAATATTGTTTTATTTTTAGGTTATATTAAATGTATGGAAAATCAAATGTGGATCTGGGGCTTCTACAAATATGATGGAGAACCCAATGAAGAACTAATAAATGCATCCAACTTTTCGATAATAGCCAGCGAAGATTTGGGCCAAGAGGACGACCAAGATATCACTGAAATAGAAGAGGAAGCCATCGAACAAGATGGTGACGAAAGACCGTCTATCTTAATGGAAGCTGTTTTAGACGAGAATGGAAAATATATTTTGAAACCCAGAGAAGAAATAGTAAATCCAAATATGAGCTAGACTAAAATAAATTTGGTAGTATACGAATAAGCGATTTTGGTTTTAGGACTAAAATAGTTTGCCGAATATATTTAATTATTTATAATATGTAAATTTTATAACGTATTTGGTAAACATTTAGAAAACGCTGATATTTTAGTATAAATCATATATTTTTTATGTTAATTATGTAATTATGAGTTATGTCAATATAAGTATATTAATTATGTAATTTCGGATTAGCAAAATATGAATAAAATCTTCGCACAATCTTTTGAAAGTTAAATTGAACAACTTGAAACTAGGGGGTATACTTCAATAGGTAGAGATGGATGAATTTTATATAAAATAAAACAATTTTTATTTTACATGAGCCCTCATCTCATATTTTTGTAATTGATGGATTCGACCGTTACTTGATGGAAATTCATTTTATGTAACAATAAAACACTGAAAAGTTTGTTTCCAAAACTGCCACAAAAATTTATTATATAATCAGTCCTATTCTGTAACTACAAATCGAATAGAAATGAGTCAAATCAAATAGAGGTCAGCAAGTCGGATCAGAATTTGTAGGAATCGGTATTCTGTAACTCATCTCGACCTCTACTATCGAATATGTTGTGTAGAAATTGATTTCGACTAGACAAGCTCTGTCGGGATCCAATTTCGACATCGAAATTGGTCTTGACGCTTGCGCATTGGTTGTTTTGACATTTATTTGTTGACTTGTTGATATAAATTAGCGGTTGATTGATTTTTGTAGCTGTTTCATTTTTTAGTATGTGGTGTTATTTATTTAGATAAAGTTTACTAAATAATTTAACTGCTCAGCAGATATCCTTTTCTTTGCTGTTACGCTTGCTTTTTGTATTCTTGTAACGAACTTTTCAAACTTAACCAAAACATGTCAAAACTGCTTGACGACAAGCTTGAAATATAATCTTCTTTTTTGATGAATTTTTCGCCTGCACTAGCCTTTTCAGTAACATAACGTCACAGAACACTTATTTTACATATGAATGCGGGGTTGCCACCAACTTTTGAGCGCGTCAAGTAGAAGTTGACGTTTTCTATTTACACCGATTACGATGTGAGTTACAGAATGCCAATCCAAACACGAAAACGGCCAGATAGATATCCAACATTCCGATTACAAGTAATTAGGATTCGACTTGGTGATTTCTATTCGATTTGTCAAAAGTTACAGAATAGACCTGATTACAGCTGTTTCAACTGATAACCTTTCTCAAGTAATCTATTTTTGGCATGCGTGTACAATTTATAGTCTTTAATGAAATAGGTTGAGGAGGGGAGAACTGTTTGTCTCAAGCGAATAGCAGAACGTAAAGGAGCTTTCAATAATAGAAAAACAGATTCTACATAGGCCCTTTACCTTCTAGATCATAATCAATAATCATAAAATTCTTCACATTCAAAATAAAGGCCGTAAGCTATCTTTGTTAGAATCTATGGAAATTAACAAATTAAAAAACAGATATAATTCTGAATGACCAACTTGAGACAAACAGTTCTCCTCTCCACAACCTATTTCATTAAAGACTATAAAGTGTAAACGCATACCAAAAATAGATCACTTGAGAAAGGCAGTCTGTCGAAACAGCTGTAGTGATAATATTATATAATAAATTTTTGTGGAAGTTTTGAAATCAAAGTTTTCACTATACACTGTACAATTTTAACAGTTAAATATAAAAAATAATGTTTTGTTGACATCTTAGTATATTTTAACAATTTTGCTGTGGAACTGTAATTCAGAACGTTCTCGTGTGCTTAATGAACTTTTTTCATAGCATATACAATACGCAGAAAACGCCAAATGGCATCTTCTGCACAGACAAATAAAAAAAAAGCTGGTTTAGGCTATTACTGGTACGAATCAATGTAAAATATAAACGCAACAACTATTTTAGGAAATTAAATGATAAATTTATACATACATCACTTTCTTATTCAACTAAATACATAAAATTATCTATTTAAATAAACCAAATATTTTTTGAGGCCTTTAAAGACCTTTTAAAGGCAAAGTAATTGGACAATTATTACTTTAAAAAATAACTAACCTTACAAACAGTTATAACCATTTTGTAAATCACTAAAAAAACATTTATACTACGTTGTCCTGTGTAGTGTCACAGAATAATAAACAATCAGAAGGGCCACTCTTAGATGCCGCCTTTGAAGTTTTTCAGCACGCGCGCCCTGTTTTAGGAGGACACAAACATATGATTTGTGAGGTTATGCAATTGTTTACATTTATGTTTAATTATATTATATTTATGTTATTATATTTAAAACTGTTAATATAATTGTATAGTATGTCTATGATTGCCGTAAGTCAAATAAACCTGGTTTTTTTTCATGCACACCACATAAACAACACTGGTTCCCTTTAAAATCCTCGTAAAACATGGCGGAACGTCTGCGCGAAGGAGATGCGCGTACTTAATTTTCCGTGGAGAGTGGGCATTCTGTTTGTTTATTATTCTGTGGTAGTGTCATGCAGGTTTTTTCTACCTGATTGGAGATACAAAGAGCGAAGTTTTTGGCTATTGAGGCAAAGGCTATTGAGTACATTTTTCTTTTCATTACTTTGTTTTTTGTCCTTTTTAAAGCTCATTAGTAGGGAGATGATCTCAATAATTTTGCGTTTCATCGTTTAGGCATTTATTTGGAATTTTCATTTTAGATCCAGGAACCGGTCAGATATTGTTAAAGAGGGAAATTTTCAGAACTAACTTTGTTTTGCTTGTATGGACTAGACGGCTCAGCTAAAGCAAATCTTCAGTAGGTGGTTATAATCTTGTACAGTGGTTCTAGTATTTTGTTGAGGATATTATAAATGAACTGAGATTTTCCCAGACAGTCGAATTGTCAGTTTCAACTGAGACGCATGGTACGGTCAAGATTTTGTATTTTCTTTGTATGATTCTAGATGAAGTCTACATCAGAAAAATCAATGGTAGGAAGGTGAAAAGTCTCGAAAAGAAATATTTTGTTTGCGTGCACACAACCCTTTAATCTGAACGCATTTATAACAATGGATTCTGTTTGGCAAGTCATGAAGGTTTCCCCAGAAGCTCAACAGTTCCATGTTGCCTTTTCCGTTGACACAACCACTAGTGGTATGTTTCAACTGTAGTGATGGCTTAGAAAAATGTTGATAGGTTTTGTCTAGAAGCCGATGTGTAGGGTGGAAAATTTATTACAAGTATGAAGTTGTTTCTGATAATATTTGTACCCTTAATATTCTTTGTGTGTATGGTGATCTTCGAATGTAAGAACTAGAGGGCCTTCCTTTGTTGGTTTGAATATGTTGGAACGAATCTACTCTGTCCATCATATTCACGAGGAAGTAGAAGAGTACCTCCAGTACTCAAGCAGCATGCTACTAGTGAACCTCGTTCCGCAGAACTTACGATTTCCACTTACCTTTTACTCGACCCTTCTACCTTACCTTTCGAAAGAAAGGTTTCATGAGGTTTCGAAGTTTTTGTGATGATTTAGAAAATGGTCAAACTTCTCCGCAATAAGAGTCAAGCCAAGGCTCTTCTTTCTAATCCTCTTTCGGCGATCATTCTGATTTCTGTTTTTATTTTCTGAATCCTGGAAGGTTGTTATAATTGATTTCTTGCTTGGTGCATATTCCTATTGCTGTCACTTCTGACTAACATATATAAAATACTATTTCTATAGTTTTAAAGGAGAAAATTGAGCTACCTTCACGGTTAGAGAGCATATTTTATATGTGCAACAGCGCTCCGCTACGTCATTTAATATTGGCCGACGGAGATTTGTTAAGTTGTCGGTGCAATTGGGTCCCGCAAGACTTGATATTTCTTTATTAATGCAACAAAAACATATTAATGCAACCATAACATCATGCGATTATTATTTTTCGTTCACTTTTAAATTTTAATCTATGCTTTTGATTGACCAATAAAATCTCATGCCTCTTTTATAATGCTTTTTTAATAACATTTGGCATCACTTTCACAAATCACATAATCTGAATGTTCTTCCATGATTTATCAATAATGATTGTTTACTAATATAGCAATTAAAAGTCATAATATGGGTTATATCACAATACAAGAGGGTATTTCAATTCATTCTGTTGTTTACAGCTGTTTGTGTACCGCGTTCATACATTTTAATTTAGCTTATAACAGTATCTTCTATTTCTATTTCAATGGTATCCATTGGAAATGTTCTCATTGCACATGTTATGCATACACAAGATAATATTTTAAGCTTCTCAAAATTGTTACACTAACTGACTCTCCTATGCCATTTCCCCATGAGAGATTATTAATCTCGCTACATCACCTCAAGATTTTCTGCATACCATTAGGACTTTAGTTTGTCATTAACGTTGGTCCTAATAATGTATTTAGTAATTTCAAAAGATAGTGCTAAAGATATTATTGTTACATTTCATCTTTTGTTAAAAATGTTCACTAAACTGAATTTACCAACATGAATTGACATTTGTATATTGTATGTAAATTATTTTGTATATACATACGAATAATAATGTAGAATATAAATATGTATTTGAAAATAAGTAGTTATTTAAATATTTCTTTTTATGTAGCATGATATTGTTAATATTGATTAAAATAAAATTGTTTGTCAAATACAAAAATATTCTTATAAAATTTTCTTTCGTCATCGTAGCATTTTTTAAGTGATCGATTATAGCAGGCCGCTTATTTTAGAAGGAAACGGAAATTTTGAAAATCATGTTAACTAATTCTGCGGTTTTAAGACTGTCTGCTGGGACGAGCCAAACTGAAAGCGGAACGAAAAATAAATCAAAGAAGGGCATCCAAAAGATAAGCAGGGGAAGCTAGATAAATTGCAAGAGCATTTCGGAGAGCTGCTTAATGAAGAACCGGATGGAAATGATCAGGAGCAAGTGGCAATAATAGAGGAAGTCAACGACACGGCGGAAACAATAGAGACTCTCACCGTGGAAGAAATAAGAGAAATCATATATAGCATAAAAAACAATAAGTGCAGCAATGATATTCCTGCAGAACTAAAGAAGTATGGCGGGGGAAGCACTTATAATGCGGATATTTAGCTCTCTAACGAAATCTGGGAGCGAGAGT